AAGCCAAGTGTGAATGTAGTTCCCTCATTCAAAGTAATCATAGCCATGAGGGTGGGCACCTTGGCTGAGTTCAAGACCAGCCTGAACAAGACCCAGACCTCGTCTCTAAAACTAGCTGGCTGTTGTGGTGGGTGGCTGTAATCCCAGCTTCTTGGGAGACTGAGGCGAGAAGATCAATTGAGTCCAAGAGTTTGAGATTGCTGTGAGCTATGATGCTATGGCACTCTACCCAGGGCAAGAAAGTGAGACTCTGTCTCAAAAACAAAAAATTAATAGCTATAAAATGAAGTAGACAAGAGCTCTGCAACGCATTTACAAGAGAACACAGGGTTTTGAGAATTCTTAAGATAAGGAAAACTTGCACATCTTATAAGGGAAGGGAAAGCATTTCTATGTAAAAAGAAATTGAAGGAAGAGATGAGAGATGAGGGTGTCAGGAAGGAAGATCCCAAAAGAAGGGATGGGGTCAATATTTCAAAGTAGGGGAATCTTGACCTCAACCTCTGAGCCCAGAGAAGTGGAGAGGGTGTGATGGAAGAAAGTAGAAGCAAATTTGTAGGAGGTAGGGTGGGAAGTCGAGCCAGTTACCTGCCTCCACTTAATTCTCAGATTATAGGTGATAGGACTGAGTAGGTGGAACAGGAGGATTGAATAAAATATACAACTTTGAAAAGAACAACAGTGGAAACTAGAGAGGGAAAGGAACAGGGAAATTAATCCAGTTGTCTTGATATCATGGCTCAAATTTCACTTCTCCCTTGAACTGACAGTCCAGATAAGGGAAAGATTAATAGCATATCTATACAGCAATTAACAACAGACATTTCCCTTTAAGCTCCTACCCTACAGCTCTGAAGCAGCACTTGTCATATTCTGCTATGTAATTCTTCCAGGTGCCTTTCCAGAATCAATTTGTAACTCTTTAAGGAATCATAGTTTTTTATTCCTTGTGAGCATCTACTGGGAAGCACATGAACACAGTGTTTCAATAACTACTGTTGTACAACAACTGCTCCATCCTAGCAGGGTACAATAGCAATTTTTCTAATCATTCTCGTGGTTCTGGGGATCAACTAGGTGGTTCTCACTTGGGTGTCTCTCCTCTGGCTGCAGAGAGGAAACACCTGGAGGCTCCTTCCCTCAGTCTCTGGAGCTTCATGCTGCCTCCTCTGAGGCTGTCCTCCAGAATTCATACCCGCGACTTCCTCAGATAGCTTGGGCTTCTTCCACAAATGGCAGCTGAGTTCCAAGAGCAAGTTTTCTAAGAGCCGGGCAGGCACTACAGCACTTTTTATGGTTTAGCTTCTGAAAACTCACAGTATGATTTGGTAACATGTTATTTATTAGAATTAAGTCACTACAGTAAACCCATATATGAGGAGAGGGAAAGTTGTTAGACTCCACCTCTCGATGAGAGAAGTGTCAGACTTCGCAGATAGATGCCTGTCCTAAGTACCTGATAGATTTTGAAAAAGCCTCAGAAGGAAGTAAAAAGAGAAAGCATGATGCACAGTCTTACAAGGTCTGAAGAGAAGTCAGCAATGATGCTAGAGAGTCGATTAACCCACCAAACACGAGGCCCATGGCCGTTTTACGAATGAGTGTAATCTTTTACGATCTCTTTTTAAGAGATAAAATTGAGCTGTGTAGACTAGACAGGTGTGGTAGATCCGTGTTTCTCCTGCTGTCACATGTGTGCACATGACCTGGGGTCTTTGTTAAAACACAGATTCTGGTTCAGTAGGTCTGGGGCCTGAGAGTCGGCCTTCCTAGTGAGCTCCAGGCTGAGGCCACAGCCCCACAGGCCCCTCATGAAGAGCAAGGTAGTAGAAGGTGATGAAGGTGACTGCGTGGCTCCTGCAACCCCACCCTTCTCTCTGGCACCAGAGCTCCCTATCCACCTTCTGGCCAGCTGAACTCCTGATGCCAGCGAGGTCAATCTGCCCTCCCATAGACGTTAAAGACTGTAATTAAAGGAAGAGAGTGATTCTCCTCTCCCTGGTAGTAGAAGCAAGGGACATGAGGCTGAGGAGTCACCAGTCATGTGATAAGGCCAGTTTCCAAGAGGTGCCAAGAGAGAAGAAAATCCAGGGGATATTCCAGCACTTTAGGAAATTCAGAGCAGACTCCCTTCCTGCAAGATTCTCAGAGCCATCCTAATACTCTTCCAGACAACTCCCCTCTTGGCCTAAATTTTTTTCGCTGGGGATTTCATTATCTGAAACTATAAAAGCTCTAAAAGGGGTGAGGAAAGAAGGGGAGATGTTGTCCCGGAAACAGTCTTGGAGTTCTGCACTATTATCCCGACATGTGGGCCCCGCGGTGAGGACAGACTGTCCATCAGATCACCCTAAAAGTGTGTTTCCAACAGCGTGGGTAGGCCATGGGGCGGGGGGGAGACACTGGAAAACTAAGGCTGAGGGGAGACCGAGAAAAGCTTTGACCTACCTCCTACCTACAACAGAAAAAAACAGAGAAAAGAGGCGGAACAGTCTGCACATTACACTACTAGAATTCAAAGACAATGAAACTGTTGCCCAAAAATCACGTCTGCTGAAAATAGAAGCAGACAGGACAGCCTAGGAGTAGCAAAGCTGATATTCCTCAAAGGGTGTCCAGTCCCCGGGCCTAAGTGGAAGTTAAAAGCAAGATAGACCTGCCTGGCAAAGTGCAAAACATGTCACACACCGTGGTATGTGCTTTACAGTTACAACCTTGTTTAATGACCTTTAAGACACTGTCACTCATGCCACTGTCTCTGGAACTCTAGCACAGTCACAGCTGCTACTTCCAAGGTCCGAATTGGAAAACTGAACTTGGGTCAGAGCACAATTCTCCCCTGGCCGACCCTATGACAGGACATTCCTAGGCAAATCTCAAAGTCCTTTATAAAGCCTGGGGCTGCAAGCAGCACAGGTGACACAAGGATGACAATGCCACCTTTCCACGTACAAAGTTCATTTTTTTTTTTTTTTTTTTGCAGCTTTTGGCCAGGGCTGGGTTTGAACCCACCACCTCCAGCATATGGGGCTGGCGTCCTACTCCTTTGAGCCACAGGCACCGCCCTACAGAGTAAGTTCTTAATAACCAGGTTCTTGGCTACACCTTCATCTATCCCAGCCCCCTTCCTCTAGGATCTACACTGTTAAGCCAAATGTTTCGCGACACATTTCCAAAACAGTAAATTCTTTACACAAAACAAAAAAGCCTGGTTCCCCCCAAGGTGTGTTGACTGTGACCAGATGAACGACAAGGCTTTCCTATCTAAGGGGCAGGTAGGCAGCCAGCAAACCAACAGCAATACTGGAGAAGGTTTTCTCTGCAGCGAATGCCCTTGAGTCTGAGATGTGACAGTGGAGCAGTGAGGTTGGTTCCATACGCAAAAGCAGATACTGATCTCATTATTTCATAGCCGTACCTCACAATGTGTTTATAAAATATTTCTTTCACACATTAAAACAGAATCTACTACAGATGGCCTTAATTTTGATAAAATCAACTGAAAAAAAAGTTATATGTTAATGCAACATTTATTGTAAAGATTCCAGAAACACATGAGTCAAAATTTCAAATTATGATTCCCACAGTAACTGTAACTCTGCTATACAACATACATAATGGACAAAATGCTATCCACATACCCCATCGTAGAAAATACTCAGTAAGCAGAAACAAGCTGAGTTATTCTTGCCGTGGGAATCATCATTTTCAACTAGCTGAGAATATATAAAGATTGAAACCATAAGTGCATATATTATTTTCTGTATTTAATTCTAAATTTTTCTTGATCCAATTTAATAAGCTTTGCATCCAAGCTACATTTTCCTTTCATAAACCGCAGATGCATGCCTTTTGTAATTTTCAAATCCACACATTTGGTTTCTTTTTCTGATGCAGGCTGCCTTTGCAGGATGGCATCATTATCCTCTGTCCCTCCCTGAAATGTCAGGACATGTCTGCTGGGATCCATTTGTCTATATTCCTTTTCTCCCTGAAGGACACTGTGGGGGAGGAGGGAAAGAATACCAAGGAGACAAGAATCCCGTCGAGTAGCTCAGGCCGGCACAGAAGAGCAACAGAAACAGAGACGCTGTCACCGTTAACTTGCCCCTTGTTATCTCTCTAAGCAGAAATAAGAACAACAATACCACCACATATTTACAATTTCCTAAGTGTTTAGTCATAATATCATCTCATCTGACTCTCACCACAACACTGCAAGAGAGGCAAAAAGAACACATCTTTCTGTTCAGCTTTTGTGACTTAGGTGGAATATATTTAAGGATGTGTTTTTATGTTATCATTTAAAGTCTGGGCCATTTAATTGCACGTACAATATTTCCAAATATACTCACTCACCACACATGGAGGATTTACTTATCACTGAAGGCACAATATACTCTATGTAAAAAGATTATGGTTATGAGCTAAACATTTAACATGCTTTAAGCTTTTGGCTTTAACTATATTCTGAAGATTTAATAATGGAGCAGAGAGAGAAATAACTGCCCTTTGAAATTCTGCCTAGGCAAAATTAATCGTGTATATTATATCTGGTATTACTTCTCCCAGTTTGCTTTTAACTAAGAAGGGCACCTTCTACAACCTCTGAAGAGGAACCCTTTTTCTTTCCAGCAGTCCTTACCATGAGGGTATGTTTCATTATATTCAAACCAAATTACTTTGGCTCAAGAACAATCGTAATTTTTTTACCACTCTAAAGAGGTCTGCCCCCACCACGCTGTCCGTGACCTTGTGCGAGTGACTGAAGGATAAGATGGTCACTCTGTCTGTGTCTCAGCACTACTGTCATTAGTCTACTCAAATGTGAGTTTATTTTCCCTCCTTTTTATGTACACAGGATCCTTCCCTATGTAGTCAGGTACGTTTTCCTTCTTCATTTATAAAGTACACCAAGAAAAAGATCAATGAAAATAAAGATTCAGAGCTGGAAAAGGCTTCAATATCATTTATTGTAACTAGAGAGATAATACGGTCAATCCTTTGCCTATGAAAATAAGTTTTAAAAGGGTAATATTTTTAAGTGCAGAAAAGAAAAATCCTAATAAGGAATATTAATTTTAGGAGGTTTTATTGTAGAGGAAGAGTTTTACAATGAGTAATGATGAACACATAAATTCTTGGGATAAAACACATAACGGTATCCCCCAGAACATAAATACTGAACTTTCAGGCTCCCTCCACCCTCTGCCATATGCAAAAGTTGGAAAAGAAAAATAATATTTGAAGTTGATCACAAAACACAATCTCAACACTATTTCCAAGATAAAAATTCAGCGATGGGAATATGAGGTCTTGTGTCTTGTCAGAGACCACAAAAGGGGCTTCTGCCTCACGGGATTTATCACTCAGACATGAGGATAGGGCCAGAAGCATCAGTTTTCTCAGCAGGTCATCAACTTCATGGGATTCTCCTTGGGGAAATGTAGATTCAGCCAGGGGGCAAGGTTTAACCCAAGCACAATGAAATAAAGTCCTTGCTAGCTGTCCCTTCCAATTTCAGGTAGAAACTGAAAAGGAGGTAACTGATTCTAAAGGATCACAGAATGCTGAGGAATGAAAAATGATGGGTTTATTTCTCTTGAGTAGTTAACATGTGAAATTCCAAAGGATCTAACATTTCCAGATAAATGGTAGCAAATAAGGTCCTGAAGACTGTCAGCACCACAGACAGGACTTCAATTTCTCATCTGTGCTTATAATTAAAGCTGCAGGATTCCATGAGTGACCAACAGTAAAGAATTACTACATTAATGAATAAACCACAGGAAAACTCTGGGAACAAGGTAAGTGGTCCAGGAAAACAAGACTGTCAAATGAATCATTATCCATTCATACAACAGATGTAGTTTGTGACAATGTACTCTTGAAGAATATACAAAGAAAGAGAAAAGGCTAAAAATACATTACATAATGAAGCGAGAGGTCACCAAATGGTACATTCTGTATGATCCCCGTTTGGAGAAAAATATGTGCACAGGTAAAAAGATTGGGAGGATATATAGAAAAATATTAACAGAAGTTACCTCTGTTAGTGAGATTCTAATGTCTTCTGAATTTTTTCTCTTCCAAACGTAAAGGAGATAAGGAGAAATTGGGATTTCAAAAAAGAATCAATCAGTATATCCTGATCTCCTTGTACCATTTGTTTTTATAACACACAAAATGAAAACCTGAAATATATTTAGTGCCATTAAATAATTACATTAATATTTATGTTTCTTCAAGTTATAAAAGCAATAGTTTGCTCAAATATAGTCTCATACTTTCTTCCAATTCACAGAGAACAATGGATGTTTAAAACACATAATGACTTAAATTTGAGTTCAAGGTTGAAGTCTTCCAAGCATTCTTCTTCATACCTTCTCGAGTCTAAAAAATGAACTTCATATGCTTGATTCCGTAAGTTTTGAAGAAAACCATGAGAATGAGCGCCCACAATCCCAGAATAAAGCCCCCAGGAGGATGCCAATCTTTCAGCTTCGGTTTCTGCAAAGCAAGTATAACATGGTAAATTTAACAATGGTAAGTGATTCAGCAATGGGTAAAGCAAATACGATGGAAAAGAGAAATTCTGCTGGTTACATTTTGGCTGAATTAAGGGTACTGGGACAGTAACCATGATAAAGACTTCAAACAGGATAACTATCAGAAAGAGGGAACTGGCTCCTAGCAAAGATGGCGTTCAGCTCACGTTGTTTCCTCAGAGGGACCCTCCCTGACATTTATCCTCACC